TTCACTTCTCAAATATCATTGTGTTTGCCTCCTATATGATATATTTAACTGATTTTTTTTTTATCCAAACAATCAATGATTTATAAAGGCAAATCAGGAAAATTAACAAGGCTGCCCAAACTTTTGCATCCCTCTGTATGTTCCCCAGCATCTATTTATTCCCTGGTACCCATGTTTCCAAGTACTTATGATCCCAGGTAATCAGCTCCCAGGGTTAATAGTGAAAATCATGACAGATGCTTGGCTCCCACTTCAAAACAAACCAACAAAAAAAAATTTACTGACTTACAGTGCAGGCATATACTGGGGTAACATACTGGAAAACATAGTGATGAGTGCACTGGAGCGATCGTTAGGATCCTGGGAACTAAAGTCCTGTCTCCATTGTCAAGCCTCATTCTATTTGGTTCACACTTGTTTGGTTCTGCTCAGGTGTGTGTGTCTCCATGTCAATGTGTCCCTCACTCTGTGAGCAGGATTGTGGGCGAGTTGTCAACATGCAGCTTCAGCCATTGTGGTTTTATGGTCCAGTAGTCAGACATTTTTTTGTCACGGCACTGTTTAACTGTGGGTGGCCAGTTTATCCGAAACCTCCCGGGATGTCTGCTCATTTTAGACAGCTCTGTCCAGCTCAGTGCGCTCGTCTACTTCACCTCTCTCCAGGAAAACTTTGCTGGAGGAGTTTGCAAGTTCTAYCTCGACTCAGCCAATCCACTGGCAGAAGTCTTCTGTGGTCAAGATCAAAATCCTGAGTATGCAATACAACCACTGTTGAGGTGGTTCTGRAAGCACAGTTGGAACCGTAAGTGGAGACATATTTGGCCGAGGCTTGAACTGAGGATGAAGAGGAGGCTAGGTATCGAGGTAACTAAGGTATGTGAAAAATAGGGATGACCCCAAAATGTTTAGTAAAGAGATTATAGATCTTTGATCACATACTGGCAAGCTAATAAACTACAGCACTTAAGCTTTATTAATCAACATTTATCACTGTAAAAACAACCACAGTATCAAAAAAATAAATAAAACCATCATGACGATCAGCTGATGAAAAAATAGATATTTCAAACTGAATAGGTAGGATGCTAAATCCAAGTTCATTAGGTTTGTTTTTAGCTTTCACATTGGGTAACCAAAACATTGTCGTCAAAATTCATTTATTCAACTGAATTTCTTTTTTACAGTGTACATTATACAAAAATATAGAGTACCAAATGTTTACAGTGTTTAAAAGGCAGTGTTCAGTAAATTCTTGCCAAACAAGAACTATTTTTGGAGCAAAACAAACTCATTCAGGGATTCTTGAGAACAGAACAAACTGTATCTAACATGTAGCACATTTCACAGTAAAAGCATATTCCAATACAAAATGCCAGTTTTCCTGCTCATCACTGTAATCTTTTTACGATCTGAACCAAATACATTTTCGTACAGTTTACAAAAACACAGATGTATGCATCTGTGTGCATGAAAAAAGTGTCAGTGCATGCAGTTAGTTGTATGCAAGAGCCCAGAACTAAACACGCACGCTAGATTTAAAGTTGTTTGATCTCTCTCTCTCTCTCTCTCTCTCTCTCTCTCTCTCTCTCTC